ACTGAACTATCTCACAGTTACTCGACCAGACATTTCCTTTGCAGTCAGTGTAGTAAGTCAGTTCTTGAATTCTCCCTGTGAAGATCACTGGAATGCAGTAATCCGTATCCTCAAGTACATCAAGACTGCTCCTGGCAAAGGTCTTCTCTATGAAAACAAAGGTCATACCAGAGTTGTAGGATACTCAGATGCTGATTGGGCAGGTTCTCCTATTGATAGAAGATCCACTTCTGGGTATTGTGTATTCGTTGGAGATAACTTGATTTCCTGGAGAAGTAAGAAGCAAAGTGTAGTTGCTAGATCAAGTGCTGAAGCAGAATATCGCTCCATGGCCACAGCTACCTGTGAACTCATCTGGTTAAAACAGCTACTGAAGGAACTCAAGTTTGGAGACACTGGCCCAACATCTCTCATTTGTGATAATCAAGTTGCTTTGCATATTGCTTCAAATCCAGTGTTTCATGAAAAGATTAAGCACATTGAGATAGATTGTCATTTCCTTAGGGAAAAAGTTCTCTCAGGAGATATAGTCACTCGTTTTGTCAGCTCAAATGATCAATTAGCTGATGTATTTACTAAGTCTTTGAGAGGACCTAGAATAGACCAGATATGTAACAAGCTTGGTGCATACGATCTATATGCTCCAGCTTGAGGGGGAGTGTTGCTGCACATAGTATAGAAGTCCCACATTGAGTGTACATAGTATAGAAGTCCCACATTGAGTGTGTCTCTTTGTATTCTTCAATTGGTTTGCTATATAATAGCACCAATGTTGTGTAGTTCAAGATAACAAGGATTACAATGAATACCTCTTGTCTCTTGATAATTAACAGGGTTCTTGATTCCGGTGCCTCTGATCATATTTCTGGTAATAAGTCTTTGTTCTCTTCTCTTTTTACCTCTGGTTATTTTCCTGTTGTTACTATGGCTAATGGTTCACAAATTCAGTCTAGTGGAATTGGAACAATACATCTCTTTCCTTCTCATACTATTGATAACGTGTTTTATGTCCCCGGTTCACCCTTTAATATCTCTTCCATTATCCGTTTAATACATTCTCTTGATTGTCTCATCTCTTTTACCAAAAATTCTGGATTTTTACATGACCGGAGTTCGGGGAGGACAATTGGCGGTGGATTTGAGTCCAATGGCCTTTACATGCTCTCCAGCTCTTCTCATGCTCATTCGGTATTAGATTCTCCACTCACTGTTCACGCTCAGTTGGGTCATCCTAGTCTTACAAAACTCCAACAGATGGTGCCGCGTCTATCCAAACTGACCACTTTGCAATGTGAATCATGTCAATTCGGGAAACATACTCGTAGTTCTTTTCCTGATAAAGCCAGTCGTCATGCCTCATCTCCTTTTAGTTTGGTTCACTCTGATGTTTGGGGACCTAGTCGTACTGCGTCAACTCGGGGCTATAGATATTTTGTCACATTTATTGATGATTATTCTCGGAACACCTGGTTATTTTTACTGAAAAATCGCTCTGAGCTATTCTCAGTATTTCAGAAGTTCTATCAAGAAATTCTTACTCAATTTGGTATTCCTATCTGCACTTTCCGTAGTGATAATGCTCGTGAGTATCTGTCTCAACCATTTCAATCATTCATAGCCTCTCATGGCATTCTTCACCACACGTCGTGTGCCCACACCCCTCAACAAAATAGGGTTGCTGAAAGGAAAAACTGTCATCTCATTGAAACAGCTCGGACACTCTCAATTCATGGGAATGTTCCTACCAATTATTGGGGTGATGTTGTCCTCACAGCATGTTATCTTATTAATCGCATGCCCTCCTCCGTCCTTGATAACCAGGTACCGTACTCTATCTTGCTTCCCCATCGGCCTTTATATTCCTTACCCTTTCGTATTTTTGGGTCTACTTGTTTTGTCCATGAACTCGGCCACAATCGTGACAAGTTGTCTGCTAAGTCCCACAAATGTGTGTTTCTCGGTTACCCTCGAACACAAAAAGGTTATCGATGTTACTCTCCCAGTCTCCGTCGCTCTTTTGTCTCGGCGGACGTTACCTTCTTTGAGTCTGTGCCAATTTTTAGCTCCGCCTCTGTTCCTAGTGATTCTGTTGATAGTCTGTTTCCTTTTCCCTCTGTTCCAGTTCAATATGTCCCGGCACTAGATCCTCTACCACCATTGCCTTCTGTCACATCTTCAGATGTCCCGGCACAAGATCCCCCTCTTCAGGTTTATCACCGTCAGCCACGTCCACTTATGCCCCAAGACACTGACTCTGTTGTTAATGAGGTTCCTGTGGACTCAGTTCCGTCGTCATCCACTCCTACGGCTTCGGTCCCGCCCTTAGACATTGACTTACCCATTGCTCTCCGGAAAGGTACTCGTGATACTCGTCCTCCACTCAGATATTCAATAAATATGAGTTACCATCGTCTTTCTCCATCACATTTTGCTTGCCTCTCTTCTGTGTCTGTTCCTAAGACTACAGGTGAGGCGTTATCCCATCCAGGATCGTGGCAAGCTATGATTGACGAGATGTGTGCACTCCATGGCAGTGGTACTTGGGATCTAGTTCCTCTTCCCTCTGGAAAATCTGTTGTTGGATGCAGATGGATATTTACTGTCAAGGTTGGTCCTGATGGACAGGTGGATCGTCTCAAAGCACGTTTGGTGGCCAAGGGATATACTCAGGTGTTTGGCGAGGATTATGGGGATACATTTTCCCCTGTGACGAAAATGGCATCTGTTCGCCTCTTTATTACTATGGCTGCCATCCGTCATTGGCCCTTCTATCAATTAGATGTCAAAAATGCTTTCCTCAATGGTGATCTTGCAGAAGAAGTTTACATGGAACAACCTCCTGGGTTTGTTGCTCAGGGGGAGTCTGGTTTAGTTTGTCGACTCTGCAAATCTTTGTATGGTCTCAAACAATCTCCACGAGCTTGGTTTGAGAGGTTTAGCACCATTGTCCAGCAGTTTGGTATGACTCGAAGTGAGGCTGATCACTTGGTATTTTATCGCCACTCAGACTCCGGATCCATTTATTTGGTGGTATATGTTGATGACATTGTCATTACAGGAGACGACCATCAAGGCATTACTCAGTTAAAACAACACCTCAATCGTCATTTTCAGACAAAGGATCTCGGAAGATTACGATATTTCTTGGGAATTGAAGTGGCTCAATCCAAGGATGGTATTGTGATATCCCAAAGGAAATATATTATGGATATTCTTGAGGAGACAGCTCTGTCGAATGCTAAGCCCGTCGATACTCCTATGGATCCAAATGTCAAGCTTGTGCTAAATCAAGGGGAACTATTTTCAGATCCAGAAAGGTATAGAAGATTGGTTGGGAAGCTGAACTATCTCACAGTTACTCGACCAGACATCTCGTTTGCAATCAGTGTAGTAAGTCAGTTCTTGAATTCTCCTTGTGAAGATCACTGGAATGCAGTGATCCGTATTCTCAAGTACATCAAGAATGCTCCAGGTAAAGGTCTCCTCTATAAAAACAAAGGTCATACCAGAGTTGAGGGATACTCAGATGCTGATTGGGCAGGTTCCCCCAGTGATAGAAGATCCACATCTGGGTATTGTGTATTCGTTAGAGGTAACTTGGTTTCATGGAAAAGCAAGAAACAAAGTGTAGTTGCCAGATCAAGTGTTGAAGCAGAATATCGCTCTATGGCCACAGCTACCTATGAACGCATCTGGTTAAAACGACTACTAAAGGAACTCAAGTTTGGAGACATTGACTCAGCATCTCTCATTTGCGATAATCAAGCTGCTTTACATATTGCTTCCAATCCAGTGTTTCATGAAAGGACCAAGCACATTGAAGTAGACTGCCATTTTGTCAGAGAAAAAGTCCTCTCAGGAGAAATAGTCACTAGTTTTGTTAACTCAACTGATCAATTAGCTGATGTATTCACAAAGTCTTTGAGGGGGCCTAGGATAGATCACTTATGTAACAAGCTTGGTGCATATGATCTATATGCTCCAGCTTGAGGGGAAGTGTTGTGAATATTAGTTTAGAATAGTAGTTTACTAGTCCCACATCATGTATATCTCTTTGTACTTCCTTTCTTTTCAGTTATATAATAGACACTTCGCTGTGTAGTCAAGACACACGGATTACTCACAACCTCTCGGGTCCTAATATTTTACATGGTATCAGAGCCTTGCCGCCCCTCACTTTCTCTTGTGGCGTTTCTTAGCACAGGTAGGCTGGGCCTGTTGCATTGTCCACTCTTCAAGCCTAATGGGCTCTCGTGTGAGGGGCGTGTTGAGATATATAGTCCCACATTAGTTGTATGTGCAACTAATGTGGTCTTTATAAGACCTTGGGCACTCCCATCCTTTGAGCTAGCTTTTGGGGTGATGTATCCCAAGGTTCTTTACAAGAAGAATGGAAGCGGTAAGGATCGAACTCTAGACTATTAGGTCATACAGGTTTTGATACCATGGTGGCCGGAGGTGTGGTGGCATGTCAAGAGGCTACCAGTAGGACGCGCAGCAGGGAACACTTTACAGTATGATGTGCAACAAGGAAGATGGCCTCTTAGCAGTGGGCCCAGCAGAAATAAGATCTCGCAGAAGCAGAGTCTCCCAGATCGAGAGCCCTGAATACCAACTTATAAATAAGAGATTTGAGTGAAAAATGTTGTGTCTAAACAGACCACACACACTCTATATATATATTGATGTAAGAATCAATTACAACAATTACAATTGATCCTAATCAATTAGTCCTGGTCAGATACAGTCAAATCCACAACAAATAGTATAATATTCTATCATGACTCTTTACGCTTTTAGAACTTTAACATGGCTCCTCATGTAAAGCCTGGCAAAAGTGATGCTCTCCATCACATAAACTAATTATGATTATTTCTTCTTTTTTCTTTTTATTATTTTAAAAACCCTTCATTGGCCAAACATGTCCCGCTTGTTATTTCATAAAAAGCGGACAAATTATCAAAAATATAAGTCATCCTTAAACCACAAAATGGCAATACCTTTCACAGGATCTAGAGCTGGAGGATACTTATTTCCATCTGATTTCAAATCCAGGAGCAGCTGAACAGTCTTTGAGTAAGCAGAACTGCTATCTTCTTCAAGAAGTCCAACTTGGTCGATTTTAATTTTGCTACTGCATATACATAGAAACTCTTTACTATCAACCTCTCGGACTTCATAGCCCATTCCACATGCAAAACCACGATGGGGAAGTTTGATGGAGATGACACCTTTTCCTTTACGAGCAGAAACAGATGTAGTATATTCATCTACAAGACCACGTCTTGACTTTGGTGGCATTACAAAATAACCTTGGTCAAATGCACTCTTTTTATTCTGCAAATCACCACTATTTGAGGCATTTTCCACAGGGGGTGACATATCAGGTTTAAGCACAAAAACAATGTACGGCTTATTATTTGGAGAAGTTTTTACAACCACAGCAAGCAAGTGGTCCTGGGCCTGTAAATCAATTATGAAACAGGTTAAGCACTCATTACACTGTCAAAGAACTCAATATCTAGTAAATATTTAAATTCTAAAACAATAGATAATATAGATGAATATAATATAACTGTTGTAACCGTCTCGCATCCTCTAAAACAAAATAGCCTCTGTAATTGGTGATATTAATGTAAAATATTCTGCTGTTAGGAAAGATTATTAGTTACTGTTCAAGATTCACATGTCTTCACTTAACCGCCTCTATGAATATGTGGTTTAGAGTTTAATCATTATCACCCCAATTTTTTCTATTAATAAAAATAACTTTTAAATTTTAGCACAAGGTCAATGGTTATTGAAATTATAGGGTTTTAGGTATATGTAAAGGTTTGGACATCAACACATGGGCGCACTCTCACATGCAAAGGAAAAGTCTTTGTAGTCGCAGACTATGGACGTGCGTAGGACTGTTTTAGGGTGCATAACCGGTGCAGTTTGGCCGATCTGGGAGAGGCGAGCTAGATCACTGAACCACTGGCAAGAAAGGTCGCCGGAGACAATGACCTCCGGTGCAAAGATGTGGCAAGTGCAGGAATGTGGCTCGCCAAATGACAATGGGTCAACCAAGAATCTACTAAACTTGAGGAGACGTTCCAAATTCGATGGTCAACTGATAATGGTTCATACCCAAAAGACCCGTGTGAGGGGGTATGTTAGAGATGTTAATGTAAAACCATTCATGTGTCTTTATCTAGCAGCTAAGTTTTTGGGTAGTTGGTTCATAACATAAACATACTTTGAGCCTTCTTACTAAAGGTATGATAGGCATTGAAAGTTACGAAATCCACAAAATAGTTTATTCAACAAACTACTACCTAACCCTACTAATGTCATCCAATTAAAGTTCAACCTTATCCCCAAGGTTGGATTTAAAAACTTAAAATGAACCAGATGTACGCCCTCCCAAGCAACATCCTCCGGTGGTTCAGATAACCATTTGGTTAGAGCTTGATCAATTTAGTCCCTCTGTTGACAATTTGAGTGAGATCCTAGACAATTTGAGTGAGATCCTAGCACACATTTTGGTAGAGATAGTGGAGGATCAACTTCCAAATCAACCTCTTCAAGTGGGAGTCTTGAAACTGAAGTTGGATGGAAATTGCACCCATTTGTTGAAGGATCAAAGGCTCAAAGGAAAACTTTATATAACAGTATTGCTTGCAATGTTATACGGAGTTGAATATTGGCCAGAACATAGACATTTTTCGCATAAAATGGGGATAGCGGAAATGAGGATGCTAAGGTGGATGTCTGATCATAAAAGGATGAATAAGATGAGAAATAAAGATATTCGACGAAAGGTATGAGTAGTAACACTTGCTGAAAAGATGAAAGAACATAAATTGAGATATTTTGGATATATTATTCGAAGACCTCTAGATGCTCCCGTAAGAAAGAAATGTTATCAACAACATGAAACAAAGAGAGGAAGAGGTAGGCCGAAACTTACTTGGAAAAAAATGATAAAATAAAACTTATCGGAGGGGAGAAAAACTATTAGCATTGTGGAGATTCTAATTTACTTTTTGCCTCTTATTTACTTTTTGCCTCTTATTTACTTTTTCTCTCCTTTTTTTATTTTTTTCTTCTTTTCCCTCAATATTTTCTTGCTTTTTATTTTGGTTCATCAACCGCCAACCCCAACTAATTTGGAATAATGTGATGTTGATGTTATTAAAAACATAATTTCCTATTCATTTATTTGTTGAGATATTCTAACAATCCTAACACTTTCCCTCAAACTATGCGTTTATATTATATGTACCAAGCTTGTCACATATATAGTTGACTCGGGGATCTCTAAGAGCCTTATTAGTGAAAATATCTACAAGTTGATCGCAGGAGTTAACAAACGTTGTTTTGATCTCCCCATATTGAATTTTCTCTCAAACAAAATGACAACCAATCCTAATGTGATTAGTGCTTTCATGAAAGACCGGATTTGGATAAGTATATCATGGCCTGATTGTCACAAATTAGTTTCATTAACAGTTGTTCACGAATGTTCAATTCTTTGATCAACTACTTTAACCAAATAAGCTCATAAGTTGCGGTTCCAATTGTTGAATACATAGTTTCTGCACTTGATCTAGACACCATAGACAATTTGAGCAAAATTAGTACAAGCTGGACCAGAGGAAAAACATCTAAAAAGAAGTGAAATTGTTGTCTCGCATTGGAATGACATATCGAATAGGAGGAAGTACGTTGGATAGTGATATGAATACACCAGAACAAGCTGGAATACGAGAAAAATATGCCAAAGACACCAAAATGGTGTGACCCACAAACAGATTTCGATTGGGACGAGTACCACAACGTTGGTTGCAACTAGAAAGCGGCCATCACACATGGCACAAAGGTCGCTAGAGGAGATGACCTGCAACACACAGAGTTATCACGTGCGGGCGTGTGGCTGGCCAAATAACAGTGGGTCCAGCGAGAATGTGCCAAACTTGAGTAGCCGCTTAAGATGTGATGCTCATTGAGCAAAGAAGTTGCCGGAAAATTTTTACTATAGACAAAAAAGTCACGGCACATCAAAGGGCTTCCGGATGGATGCGCACGGGATTGACTTGCCAGTATTGAGGTGTTGTGAGGAGAAGGGCTATTGGGCAATGGGCACATCAAGACTAGGGTTTCATTTGCAGTGACGGGTCAAAACCTGCACTGATACCAACTTGAATTTTGTATTAAGTGATTGTGTGTACCAATGAAGACTACGTATAGCTCTATATATATTAGTGTGGGAATTCATTACAATAATTTGCTTCCTTATATACAAGATCTTAGTTGATTCTATAGCAAATAATAATTTCCTATTTACATATCTATTGAGATATTCTAACAATCCTAACAAGTAGCGTATCTTAAATTTACAAGAAAAATAACAAAGAATTAAACTACTTCGTATGACTCTAATCATTACAGTAATATATTTACTCCCATAATTCCCAATGGCATATTAATTTCTACCACTATTTGCAACGGATATAAATGTAGATCGCAAATATAAGAACTCACTGATTCTGATTTTACAACCACAACCCTTCCAGTAGTAAGAAATTGCTGGGCACTAGGGGACTGTAAAATTGCCTCTGATATCTGGTTGCCGTATGTCTCAGCTTCTGAATATAAATCATAGTATTCTTCAATGGTCGGTTCACCCTTTATACATCTAAATAAAAAACGTCCTTCTTCAGAAACTTGAGACAAATACACAGCATCATAAAGAAAAAAAGAAAAAATAAGTAATAAAATTAATTAATTAATTAATTAACAATTAATACTGATAGCATTCCTTTGGTAAGTCATCACGAATCTCCCAAAATTAATCAGGATTTCTAATAACAGATCTCTTCAAAGGGATAGCTCGTCCATCTGAGGTGATAAAGGACTGAATCTGACGTATCATATGCAGATAGACCAACAAAACAAAAACAAAAACTCATTTGCATGTAAATAAAAAACCAATTTAACCCAAAAGCTTAAGCTGTTGGGTGAAGCTACATTAATGATTTTATATTTCTCTAATATGCCCACTCACACGAGAGCCCACTAGGCTTGAAGAGTGGACAATGCACAGGCTCACCTACCTGTACTAAAAAACTCCACAAGATTTAATTAATTATAAATTAAATGGGGGACGGTGAGGACCGAACCCGTGACACAAAGGCTCTGATACCATGTAAAGAATCAATTCAACTCAAAAGTTTAACCTGTTGGGTGAGACTACATTAATGATTTTATATTTCTCTAATAATGTATACCAATATATGTTAATCATCATCAACAACATTTTTATCCCAAATTAGTTAGGATCGGCAGCCGATAAACCCTAATGAAAAGTACAAAAAAAAAATTGAGAAAAAGAAAGAATAAACAAATAATAAAGCACTAGGAATGAAAATAAATAGAAATTAAAAAGAAAAATATAAAAATATAAAAAATAGAGTAAAAATAAAGATAAATAAGATAAAAATACAGGAGGAGAAAAAATAAAACATCAACATCAACAATACCTTTATCCCAAACTAATTGGGGTCGCTAGTAAATAAACCCAAATAAAAGGTACAAAGGGATAAAAATAAAATAATAATAATAATAAATATATATATAAATATAAAAGTAAAAATAAAAGGAGTTTAACAAAAAAAAAGTAAATAAATAAATAAAATAAAATAAAAAGAAGAAGATGGGGACGGGGAAAAGAAATAAAAGAAAAGAAGAAGAGGGGGGAGATGAAGAAGAAAAGGATTAAAAAGGGACCATCAAGAACATAGGAATAACGTGTCTAACCCTCCACCATACTAATAGTTTTTCTCTATTCTGTCCTAACTACTAAGGCACACCGTCCGTCAATTTATATCTTACTCCATTAAATCTTGTTTTACTACCTTTCCCCAAGTAAGTTTCGGTCTACCTCTATCTTTCTTTGTATCGAGCTCTTGGCAACAAATTTTTGTTCTTACGGGAGCATCCAGAGGCCTTCTCATTACGTACCTAAACCACCTCAATCTATGTTCTCCCATCTTTTCAGCCACCGGTAGTATTTCTACCTTACGTCAAATTTCTTCATTTCTTATCTTATCCATCCTCGTATACCACACATCCACCTTGACATCCTCATCTAAGCAAATAAGGAAATAACAGGAAAAAAAATAAATAAGAGAAAAAAAAGAAGGAAAGAAGAGCTTGAAAAGGAAGATTGTATTATTGAATTGTGTGAATAACTGTACAAGAACTCTCTATTTAAAGAGACTAAATGACCTAATGGGCTAAACCCCAAAAAGCTTCTAAAGTGATCTAAATAATAAAATACTAATCTAAATAATACAATATTATTTACAACAATGATACAATATTATTTACAACACTCCCCTTCTATCTGTGGAGAGTTCTTTTGTCAAAACATCAGCTAATTGACGCCTGGAGGGAATGTATGGAGTAAAGATCATTCTGCTATCAAGTTTCTCTTTAATGAAATCACGGTCGACCTCAATATGCTGAGTTCGATCATGTAGGACTAGATTATGAGCTATACAGATGGCAGACTTATTATCACAAAGTAGCTTCATAGGTCCTTTATATTTTATCTGGAGATCATCAAGTATAATTTTTAACCACAATAATTCACAAATACCTTAGGCCATCGCTCGAAACTCTGTCTCTGCACTTGACCTATCAACCACATCTTGTTTCTTACTTCTCCATGTCACGAAATTACAACAAAGAAACATACCATAACCAGTGGTATATCGATGGTCAGTCACTGACCTAGCATAATCAGCACCAGTGTAAACTTCTAAGGAAGGATTTCCACACATTGAAATAGTAGTCCTCTGCCATGAGTAGCTTTAAAATACTAAAGAATTCTTTCCACTATCTACATGTGTTTTTCTCTCGGATTATGCATGAATTAACTGACAATACTTACAGCATAAGCTAAATCTGGTCTAGTATGAGCTAGATATATCAATCACCCAACTAACTGTTGGTATTGCCCTTTATCAACTAGAGGACTCTTCTTCATATCTCTTCTTGTGATTTGCTCAATAAGAGTACTAGAAGGTTTCCATCCAAGTTTTCCTGCCTCTTTAAGAAGATCAAGAACATATTTCCACTGACTAACAAAAATTCTTTCCTTTGAATGAGCTACCTCTATCCTTAGGAAATACTTCAATCTCCCTAGGTCCTTAATTTCAAATTCAGAGGTTAGTTGTGCTTGTAAAACACGTTTCTCCACACTATCATCACCTATTATAATAATGTCATCAACATACATAAAGAGCACAATGAGTTTCCCATCTTGGGAGTGTTTAAAGAAAAGTGTATGATCTCCTTGACTCTGTTTGTACCCTAAGGTCATCATAAATTTAGTAAATCTCCCAAACCAGGCACGAAGGGACTACTTTAAGCCATAAAACGCCTTTTTGGACCCAAGAACTTTATCTTTTTCATCAATAGAGTCAAATCCTGGCGGGTGGCGGGATCTCCGTGTAAACCTCTTCTAACACAACATTAAGAAAAGCATTTTTAAGAAAAGCATTTTTCACATCAAATTGATTTATATCTCAATTGTAATGAGCAGCAAAAGATAACAAGGCTCGCACAATATTCATCTTTGCAACTAAAGCAAAAGTTTCTTCATAATCAATACCATAGGTCTGAATGTAACCCTTGGCTACTAACTGAGCCTTATTTCTCTTAAGAGTACCATCAGAATTGTACTTTAGGACAAAAACTCATCTGCACCCTATTGCTTTCTTTGCATTGGATATATCAACAACCTCCTATGTTTTATTCTTCTCCAAAGGCATTCATCTCATATTGCATGGCCTAAACCAAATTCTCATCTTTTAATGATTCGTGCACTGATTTTGGGATGGAAATAGAATCTAGTGCCGACATAAAGCTTTTGCGCTGCATAGAAAGGTTAGTTGAAGAAACAAATTGAGAGATAGGGTGTTGGGTGCAAGATCTTTTTCTTTTTCTTAAGGCAATGGGTAAGTCATCAAAGACACTGGGTAAGTTATCAGAAGCAATAGGTAAGTCATCAAAGGTTAATAATATTATATTTAGAAACAAGCGATTCAAGACTTACCGGTGATTCAAACGATTGAGATTGCTGGTGAAGCAGTATGGATTGTTTCCTCCTCTAATATACCAATTCAGGTGTCAAAATCTTTCATATCTCAGGTGTATTTGAAGGTTCTAACACACCATGAGTAGACACAGGAGGGAGAGGTGTAGGAGTAGACAAGGACGACTCAGACTCAAAGAAGGAAAGGGATAAGTCTTCTAAAGAACTACTCTCCCTCTGAAGATGAGGACCCAGGAAAAAGGACTCAAATTCATGAAATGTGACATCCATAGAAACAAAAAAAAAAATCAATTTGGAGAATAATAACACTTGCAGCCTTTTTTATCAAGAGCATAACCAAGGAAGACACATTTAAGAGCTCTAGGGCAACACACCCAAACACTCGTAGATGAAGACTCTACAAAATGGAAACAGAAGGAAAGGAAGTCATGGAATGAATAGAACTGGTATTGCTAAAGACCCGTGAAGGTATGCGGTAGATCAAAAAAACTGCAGCTACCACGGCTTCTTGTGGAACCAATGCATTCAATTTAAAGAATATGAAGGTTCAAGAATTTTGATGATAACAAACAAGTATGAAAAGAAAGCTTCAAAGTGCAACAATCAAAAAGAAGTTTAAAGAAGATCAAGACTCAAGCTTCAATAGAAGACTCTTAAGTCCAAGCAACCTCAAAGTAATATATCTTAGGACTTAGGATTATTTGAAAGGGAAATTGATTTCTTGCGTGAACAAAGCTCAAAGCATTTTTCAAATACATGTATTAAATCAACGTTTGACATTTAAATTCATTCCTAGCATGAAAATCTATTTTTAAATGTTTATCAAATGATTAAAAGTATTTGAAACTGATTCAGATCATGAGAAAACCATGTTGGGACGAAATCCAACCTTTTAACAGGTTGGTAATCGATTACCCAAGTAATGGTAACTGATTACCCTTCACGTTAATCGATTACCTTTTATGGTAATCGATTACCCATCTCATGGTAATCAATCACCCACTGTGTAGAAGACAAATATAATGGCCATAAAACGGCTAGTTTGCGAAAATGAGTCGATAAACACCCATAGGGGCCCTCTATAAATAGGAATCATTGTTCCATTGATTAGATACTTCTTCTTGATCATTATTCTTCATTTAAAATCATATTAATTGCTTATTCTCATTCATTTTGATCATAAATATTCTTTGAGCTTTATTCTTATGAAAGTGTCAACACTCATAGTTCTTCAACTTGTATAATCTATACCTTAAGAGTACTTAGCCATTGTTAAACACCTCCATTTGATTTCTTGAATAGTTAGGGCAGTGAACCTTTTACACTTGAGAGGTCACCAAATTCCTAAGAAAATTTGGAGTGAAATATTTTAAGGCATCAAGAGCCCAAAGTCTTGAAAGATTGGAGTGGTTTGTCAAGCACCCTTAAACTTGATAGCTAGTGAAAAAGTTTGATCGAGCGGCTTCAGTCTGGACTTAGGTCACGGTGGTGGTGACCAAACTAGGATACATCTAGTTTGCAATTTCTCTAACCTTAAACTCCTTACTTTAGTCTTGAAATTGTACTTTTAGATT